TAATTTACAACACAACAATTATTTTCCAGCTGAATCACCTGCAGAGCCAGCCATGGAAGTGGAGACAGATGATCCCCTACAAGAAATATTGCAGTACCTACAACACTTCTCGGCATCATCATTGCCAAATACTTTGACTTGTGACTGGATTCCTTAGAAGTAAAGGTAAAGGAGCTGACTCTTCATGTGAGCTTTCCATGAAAGAGGCCATACGACCCATGCTCTATTCGTCTTTGGCAAGCTGCCTTAATTTTAATTTAAAGTTTGCAGAATCTTTCTCGGATTATATTCTGAACATTGTCAAAAATGTCACCAATTTATCGACACTTCACTGAAAGTCAGCTCCGATCTGATAAAAAAATATGCTAGTGAACTGTAGAGTTGATTCTGTTTCAATATTTGGATAATCTTATGCGTTGATGATTAAAACAGATATTGATTGTTTTAATTCCATATTTTCCCTCTCAGGACCGTCATTGGTGCACGCAGAGCAGCGCTGTCGTTCCATCAGCAAATGCGAGGTGCCGTGCCTCGTGGACGGACTGGTGACGCTTTTCGCTTCCCACTACGCCACAGACAACGAATAGCCGAATGAAGTCTGCGCAGCTGTTGTTGCGGGAGAGCTTTCAACATATACAGCTATCGCCAACGGGATAGTGAGGAAGGGAGACTAAGTCAAAGTGGTGACAGCCAGGCCATGGAGTTTTATTTTAAAATCCTAGGAACCTGATCATAAAAATCTAACGTTATGCCAATACAATGCTGACTATAAATGAACTTGAACCGAATTAAAAAAAACTACCAGCACGAGACCGATACAAAATTTGGGAATTCTTCTAAGCTGCAAGTTTTGACACCGCTTCCCGCCGACAAGAAGCCAGAACTCTGTTACGAACTAGGACTGCTGTCTTCAAGTAAAGTGCCCACTTTCAATTGACACTGATTCATGAAGACCGTAGAGGATCATCAGTTCCTAGGCGACGATCTACGACATTCGGGAGTTTTCAAGTCCTTCCGTCACCGAAGAGTATGGAGCATCTTCTTGGCACGCCAGAGTTTTGTACCCCACTGAAGTCCTTCGATTCAGCAACAGCTCGCCGGCGATTAGGGTCCATGCGAACCATAAAGAGATAAATGGAATCAGATGCCCACGTCCACCAGCAATAATCGAACACAAAGAATGGGTTTAACGCCCAACAAATATCAAGAACCGCCACAGAAGTAACACTATCAGAAGGACGCATGACTGTATTTATGAAATTTATTCCAACAGGAAAGGCACACGAACTGATATAATCGAAACCCTAACCATAGGGGGTAAACAGGAGGTAACCATAGAAACTAAGTCATACGAGTATATAACTTCCTTACCCGCCACTAAAATTGAGGCCAAGACATAATTCAGCAGAAATTCAGCACGCAACACCAACTAGTGTGCAAAGAGATGGAAAGCAGCTTGTGATAATCTGGGCCTTAGGTACAAATAACTAATTAAAAATTACGACACGCGATTCAATGGCCACTTCAAACCATGATCAGTAAAAGAATGCCAAAAGCGAAGGCAGCCCGCCTCGCTCGTTACCAGCGGAACCCTGGGCAACAAATGAAGCCTGCATGAGTTGCGCAGCTACACTGTGATGTCTGAAGAGGTATGTAATTCCCTCTGTAGGTATATTGTGGCCCGACAGTTTCTGCTTCATCAGCGTATTTTAATGTATTTTTTAAGCCAATTTCAGGCATTTATATCTCTAATCATTTGGGTATAATCGCAAAATTTAACAAGATAGGCATTTAATGGATTCAAATATTGATGAACCAATTGAGTGGCTGATTTCACTGCCAATTGTGGCAATAAGTCTCACAAATGTGCTCATCCAATCTTCTGTTTATGATACATTGATCATACTAAGGCCTCAGGTCCTCCATTTATTGATTTGAAGTTCATTGTTGGCCTTTTTCCAGGTGTAGGCTCCATCAGTTTTTATATCTACAATTATTTCGAACTAACTTGAATACTTTTTGCAGGTACTCTGCGAGCCTAAATCCTCCACCCGCAAGAGTGCATCCAATAGTGCTTTGATCAGTAGGAGAGGTGTCGACTGGGAAATGTCAGCTGTTTGGCCCGACCACGGAACCTACTGCCGAAGCTTTGGGTTTGACATCAAAATTTGTAAACTAGGTTCTTTGTACGCATCTCTAATTGCAAAACATTAAAGCTTACATGCGGAAATACCTATGGGAGAGCCATTGTACGGCCGTTAATACCTTGGTCCTCACTGTCTCGTATTTTGCTTCCAGTTGCATTGTATGTTTCTTCTGTTATACTTTTGAAGTGCATTTTATATTATTTACTAAGATTTTAGCTACTTATGTGCGTCTCACTTGAGCTGATATAGGGGCGAGTTCTATTCAGTGACCCGGTGAAGATTATCTCACAACAATACTTGTAGACCCTTTGTGTTTCTGATCTGGTCTTCAGAATTTTATAGAACTGATTTCACTTGTGATTCGCCGTGCAGAATTTTCATTTTGAACTTGAAATATAATTTTAAATAGGAATTGCAAAATTGGGAATAATATTCTTCTACCATCTTTATGTAAAATACGACCTATTTTCTACCATTAATCATGAGGCATCTATCAATTTACATCATGTTTACCCAGCACGAAAGGACATTGTCTTAGGAAGACCCCATGAGATGATGTTCGTAATCATATCACTACAATAAATTGAAATTATTATAAATTCCAATTAGTAATAGTAATTACTAATTCAATAGTAGGTAATTAGTACTATAATTAGTTGAATTTCAAATGGTATAATTTCAATTTCAACCAAAAAAATATAAGACCCAATTTCTTCAGTTCTTTATTATGCCTTTTGTAAAAACCCGATTATATAGTATGAACCTGCTAAAGAAAAAGCTATATAAATACAATAACGGGCAAACCGTTTTCTCCCGGGAAACGTTCCCACCGTTCAATTTAACGGTAAGTAACCGGCCACTGTAACGCCGGTGGAACGTTTTTTTACGGGGGTTTTTCTAACAGTGCATACACGAATAGAGGGACAGTTTTAGGTTTACACTTCACACACATGGATTCATCTCCCAAATAGCGGAAAGGAAAGCAATGACTCTCATCAATCTACACAAAATACACTAGTTCTACCACCTCCCACCAACTTAAAACACACTTTTTACCTCTCCTTTGTCAGATCATCCGTCGTTTGCCCTCCGATACCGATACACACCCAATCAAAATCATTCATTTCTAAACTGCAGACAGTACAAAACAAAGCTCTCCAATTTATCACAAACACACACTGGTACGATTCCACATCCTCCCAAATACTACACGAACAATGCGACATTCCGACAACAAACACAGTTCTTCACCAACATGCACGTAAAACTTGGTCCACAATCAAAACTTATGATCCACAGCTCTTCAATCAAATCACATTCTTCCCAGACGCCATAGCAAGGCAGCGCCGGTTATTCAAAAGCTCCACATTACACGAACTAGGTCCTAATCCTTCACCCCTTCACAATTAACTACACAGCGGGCCATGCCGCACCCGAGCGCCGGTTCTTCTCATCACGTCTGGATGTGGCTGGTCCCATTTCAACCCACATCATCCTATACACAACTACGCTGACGGACTAATGGAATTCACCGAGAGTGACACACAGCAAAGACGTGACCGATGAACTATTGAAAACCATGCAACACCTGACTGCCCCCTCTGAGTCTTGAGCGACTCACCATCATCTTATCAATATAACCGTCGTCCCCTTCATCGTCATCATATCATCTCTTGGAAAAGAAAGAGAGCGAAACCGCATGCAAATATTATGAGCACGCATTATTTTATTTTGTGTAACAAGGCCCATACCCAGTTAAAATTTAGGGCAGGGAATAGAGCAGGCCGTCGCCGGCTGCAGAGCCGACGTAGAGACGCGACAGAGCCGCGATAGAGCAGAAATGTCCGCTTTAGAGACGATATCGCCAGCCGCGTATCAGCGCTAATTTGCTTCTGAGTACCTGCCCAGGTGTGCTCTGTCCTGCCGTCACGCAGCCCTTACTGAGCACCGCCTGCTCAAACCTGCCCAACGCCTGCTCTGGGGCGGCTCTGGCATGCTAGAATTTTGTCTCTATATCAGCCATGGCGCAGCGCAGTTTTAAGGATAGATGGCCGGTTATAGTTTCACGGCTCCATCCTGCTAAAGCGCGACCAGCCCGGCTAAACCCGGCGCCGGTCTCGGCTCAAAATTTTAACTGGGTAGTGTAAATAGTGCGTATAAAGAACCACTACTTAATTTCTCATCACCCACCCGCCAAAAGCATCAAAAGCATTGACGGGTTCATTTCCTCCCTCCCAAATCCAAATACTCCCCGATCACCTACAACCCACCCAAATGTGCACAGTGCGCCTTTCACATCTACTGTCCTTTCCATTCCAACTTCTTCTTTCTGGCCAACCTGCGCCACCTTTTGTTATCTTCCACACTTTCCCAGTGGCACCGCAACAACAACAACAAATCGGTAGTTGCCTGCTCTCGCTACGTTCCAACATGTAATTTGAAATAGATTCAGATTTATTCCTCTCTAATCACGTAGTAGTTACTCAATTTTTATTAAGTTAAGCATTTCCTTTGTGCCACCAAAGTTCCTCCTTTAGTGACTGAACTCTGTCTTCATGTGGCTGTACAGCTCATCGATCGGCTCCAGCAGCCATGTTATCTGTGAAGGTTACAATCCAATCAAAGTTGATAATGTATATTTAAATACTTAGAAGAAGTTGAGAAATTTGATTCTCTCGAAAGCTTGACGGGTGAAATTCCTCATGAAATTAGACGGACCTATCTTCAGCCAAACTTTTTTCTGCCCTTTGAATTTGGATACGCAACCTTCCCCTTAACGTTCTCACTCGAACAACCCTAACAAACCACTGCTTGCTTGGGACTGTTGATTGTTTTTTCATTTGTCCTTCGTAGTTTGTGGACGGAAACCCCGATACCGGCGCACTGAGGCAACACAATACGTGCACGAGTTTTTCGCCCCGCGCAACCTCTCCCCGTGGCTGCTGGGGCTCAAGAAGCGGGGGCGCTACGAGTGCAGCGCCACTCTTATCAGCGACTCGTGGCTGCTGACGGCAGCGCATTGTGTCGCCAGGTACTCTCACTTATTTTAGTGATTATTAAAGCTTTTTAATCTGAAAGTCCACTGGCATCATCATGAGTCGTCAGATAAAATAAAATTTTGAGCATCAGAAGCTTCTGCCAATTTAATAGTTGACAAATGGTTCCCGTTTCCTGTATTGAGCCTATATTCAGCACTGGTATTCAATTATTGATAATCATCATATATTTGAGTTTCTTGACCCTTGGTGCAGAACTAATAGCAGTTAAACACTTAGATTTAAATTAGCCGTCTTACACCAAATTCTATCTGCCTGCGGTGTACGCAATAGTGCAACGATCAGTTTCTCTTATAGTCGGATACTGTTTGACTGCCGGATATTGTCGCTCTCCATATTTTTCGAATCCTTCACCGAATTGTCATCAAGCGTTTGGAATATACTCATGATTGTAGATAATTCTGCCTTAACTTTACTTCTATACATCCTAAAATTGCACTTTTTCCGCATGTGTAAATATTATTTTGAATTTCATTCTCATCGTAAGTCGTACATGTGCCTCAATATTTAGTCATTGCTATCATTTCAATCAGTAATTTTATTCATCAACTTTGTTCTGCAGTTCGCTGGAGAGCCAAAACGAGACAATGGACCCTAGTGACCTGAAGGTGCAGCTTGCACCGAATCCACGCGACGACAGATACGTAAGATTTTATTCTCCTCGCATGACTTATCTTCTTAAAATGATGATTGTTAGTCGTAGTTATCTCTTTTTGCTGCATTTAATAGAAAAATATTAGCTTATTCGTGACTTTTCTCTGAATTTCATGATGACCCTTGTGCTCTCGTTCTCGTAGCATCACACAGTAACGCAGATGAGAAGCACGATCCAAAACTTGATATCTGTGCCCATAAATAGGTGGCGAAAATCATACTTCATCCTGACTACGAGCCCGCTCAACCACCGCTTAATATTCCGCTCAACGACCTCGCTCTCGTGATGCTGGAGGAACCGTTGATCTTCAGCGAGAGAATGTACCCCGCTTGCATAGACCTGGACGGGGAAAACTTCATCACCGACTCCATTGCCCGGGTTTGTACAGCTCATTGGTCGTGGCATTAATTGCAAGGACTCTGACTGAAATAACTCTGTTAATGACCACGTAACACGGAATCCGATAACAAATAAGATGGCGCAGAAATTCACCATATCTTTATATATAAAAAATAAAATCTAGTAGGTAAATATAGTCATTTTATAATCAAAAATTCAAAGTCAGACATTAAAACCTAAACTTATACAGTAATACTGGCCTATCTGTTAATAATCTTAAGGGGAAGTGAACTGAGTGCGGAATTTGAGCTAGGCTTCTGTTTGAAGATATAAAGATTTTCTATTTGACGATAAGTCCCTAGCTTAAACTCCGCATTCAGTTCCCATCCCCTTGAGATTGTTAACTGATAGGCTAGTGTTGCTGTGTTATATTAGGATGAATTATCTTTTATTTGTGAATTTTAACATTTAATGTCTGAATTTGAATTTTGCGTATAAATGACTTTATTTACTTTCTAGATTGCCGTTTTTCTTTATAAAGATATGCTGAATTGGTGTGCCATCTTATTTGTTTTGAAGTTACTTGTTAATTTGTGATTTAACCAATCAAGTGATTTTAAACTTTTATGTGACCACGTAATGTTCTATTGATTTTTTTTCGATCCGAGTGAACATTTCGCATGAGTTTAGATTTGATTTGTTAACATTGAATTTTTCGTTAAAATAAAATTTGTCGGAGTCTTTTGGTGTCGTGATGTGATGAGGCTCTCCAATAAGGCGTTAGTTCCTATATCGCATCAAAATGAGCATTATCATTTTAGTTAAAATGTATTTTTTTGTTGCTGAATGGTACAGTCATGAAAATATTTCTTGATTTCCTTTTCTTGAACATATAACTCATGATGAGCCTTGCCGAGCAGGCGTTCAGCCGCGCCAACGGTGTGCCAAGGTACGAGTACGATGAGGTGCTGCAGGAGCTGGACCCGGACTGCCACGGTCCCGTCCCTCGGTGCCGGTCCTGGCACATCGAGGACACGCAGTTCTGTGGCCTCGCTCTTGGTGAGAGGTTTTTTCCAGACTGTTGATATCTTTGGTTCGCCTAATCTGGAGCAGTTAAGCGAGATCGTATGAGGAGAAAGTGGTTACAGTGGGACATTTAAACTATTCCGTATATTCAAAAACTTTATTGAAACAAAAGTTTCAGCTAATAATAACACACAAGTTAGTGCACTGAGTGACGTAGCAGAGAGACGTGTTGCCCTGTCCTGAATTCCTCAGTGAGCAACGTTTTGTTTCAAGAAGTTTCAACTAAACATTTTTCTTAATGTCTGAAATGAAACAAAAGTGCTTATTTCGTGAACTAAAGCTAGATATTGTGTGATTTATTGTTACACAAAACCTTCAAAATTAATTTCATCAGATATATATTGACTTATTTCATTAATATTAAAATGGTGGCCGAATGATCCAGAAATGGTGTTTAGGGGTGCGAAGTCCAACTGATCCCACGAGTCCAACTGATCCCAATATGTTTGAGAAATATTTATGAAAACTTGTATAGGTAGAAAGTAACGCCATGACTATTTTGGGTCACTATTCCGAAAACTAAAAAGAGAAAGAAAGAAAGAAGATATATTGATTACCGAACAATGAGGGAAGCCATTCAAACTGTAATTGATGGGACTCCTCTTGATGCAAATTCATGAAAATCCTCTTCATGCAAATGAAGAGGAAAGATAGAACAGGCTCTTTCAACCTAACTGCAAAACGAATCAGATTTTTCACTTGAAGAGAAAGAGACGCAACAAGAGGAAAACGTATCTATATATATTCATAATATATAAATAGATGTTCAACTAAATGAAGTTTACAATCGTATTTTGGAAATCACCATTCATTACAATACATAAAGGAAGCGATTTCAATCGTAAATCTTGTATTTTAATTCTGCACATCCTAATGCAGCTGATCTTAAATCACACAGTGTGGACGACATTAAATTCACTCATAGCAACCCTAACAAACGCTGAGTATAATTTTGATGATATCATGATGAGGTGAAGTGTCTTTTTGTACCCCACAGACTGTCCCACACTTCTCTTCGGTGAACAGTGGGACATTTAGCCTAATTTTGTACTTTTATTATTTATAGTAAACGAAAGAGTTACAATCATTGCTTGGGTACTTAGTAACGTAACAAGGGATTTGATGTTTAATTTTTTTAGCAGTTTGTTGTTTATTAAGGGAAACAATCCCGCATTTTCTTTTAACTCTATTGTCCTATGGCACCACACTTTCCCTACGAAGGTTTAACTGAATTATTGCTTCGTGCACGATAGGTACATCGTGAAGCTTAGGAATCACCAATCTCTCGTCACTGCTCAAATATTGTTAGTAAGAACTTCATTAAAAATTTAAAAGCCAAGAAAACGCCACGTAAATTCATTATATCTTCAATGAAAACGTTTCAGAGACCAGCTCCATCAGCAGTTCGAAAACTTTTTTGAATACAAGGACTATCACCAGGGAAAATATTAATATGCACTAATGAGGTGTAAACTTAAGTAACGAGAGAATGATTGACGAAACCTAAATAACCTATCGATGTACAATTTCAATAGGATAAAAACTGTACGCGTTATTGAGACAAGATTTCCGTTTAGAAATATACAGCGGTTCGAAAGCCCTCCAGGACCACCACAGGTACATAGTACAGAGTCTTTGAATAGCTCTCAGACACAGTTACGTTGACGGGTAAAAGTCGTATTTTTTTACATCCTGCGTTGTGCATAATTTTACTTGAAATTCCTTTATCATTGCGAATTTGTTCTTGTAATTTTAATTTAAAGTTTACTAAAGGAGGAATACGAAGGCTTTTGTTTAAATTTTATTGCCGGTGTAAAGCCCGGACAAAAGTACGTAGCATAATGGGTTCAGATGCGTAATATTAAATTAGGATATGTGAATTGATCGAAATAATTCCGTCATGTGCATTCCATTGATATATTTAATAATTTAGCTTGCAACAAGTCGGTAGTTGAATTATTGTTTATTTAGCTCGCTTAGGAAAGCCTCATGACTTAGTCCCATACTCCAAATGTACAGCAGGGAAAGCCTCGTGACTTAGTCCCTTTCTCCAATTGTACAACAGGGAAAGCCTCGTGACTTAGTCCCCTACTCCAATTGTACAGCAGGGAAAGCCATGTGACTTAGTCCCTTTCTCCAATTGTACAACAGGGAAAGCCTCGTGACTTAGTCCCTTTCTCCAATTGTACAACAGGGAAAGCCTCGTGACTTAGTCCCTTTCTCTAGTTGTACAGCAGGGAAAGCCTCGTGACAAAATCCCCTACTCCAATTGTACAGCAGGGAAAGCCATGTGACTTAGTCCCTTACTCCAATTGTACAGCCGGGAATATCAGTTTTTGCTCGTACGTAGATGGTTTTGTTTATGGAGGATGTGTGCAATGAAGTAACTTTAAATAAAGACTATAAGAGGAGCGTCTGGGTAAAAAAACTCGGTTATTTACTGACAGATCACATTGAAACTTGGTATACATATGTAAAACAGAAAAATAGACGGCTTTTATTCATGTAAATTTTTCGAAAAAATAAAAGAATGCGTGAAATTCATAGGAAACGGTCAAAAAGGGGTACCGTATAATACTGTCTCCACCTAGGATTTTCAAGCTACAGCATCGAGACGCATATCATTCGATGCGTAAAGACAATATCGATCGATTCGTCGTAACTTTTTTCGAAATTCGAATTTTTGTGGGTGGGGTCATTTCTCGTAAAACTTTCGAAAATTTTTCGATTTCCCCCTTTTCCCCTCCTTTTTTTCAAAATATTTTCATAACTATAACGAAATTGAAAAAAGCTACTACCAATCTCTAGATCTTTTATTTGTGAATCGGACGGTATATGGGAGCGTCGGGGTCCAAAATCGACAATTTTGGCTTTTCCGGTTTTTAGTCCCATCTCAAAGCTGACATTCTGACCTATCCAACGGTACCAAAACCATCTATGTACGTTGATTTATGCGTTCATGACAGATCGCAAAAGGGTTAGGGGTTGTGGAGTTCTTCAGCATTTAATATAGGCAATAATGCCTGGCAATGCACTTAAATAGCCAGTCTGAACACGCTCAACTTTAGTTACCCGGCTGCAGTCGTGCGGGATGGCTCGCGTGCAGTTGTTCGCACCATCCTTGACAGAAATTGAGCTCCAGTATCGTCTAGTCTTGCATCCTTGAATGCCTATTTCGAAGCGCGCGAGACTTTGTCGTGCTCTACTGAACACTCACACTTATTGCCACTGCAAACCAATCTCCTCCTAGAGTTTTTAAGCTACAGAAATGAGAGATACACCGTTCGATTTGCAAATAAAAGATCTAGAGATTGGTTATAGTTTTTCTCTATTTCGTTATAGTTTGAATAATATTTTGAAAAAAGGGGGAGGAAAAGGGGGAAATCGGAAAATTTTCGAAAATTTAACGAAAAATGGCCCCCCACCCACATGAAATCGAATTTCGAAAAAAGCCAGATAGATAGAATCGATAGATATGGTCTTTACGCATTGAATGAGATGCGTCTCGATGTTGTAGCTCCTTTTTTCCTTTCATTTTTCGAAGAATTAACACGAATAAAAGCCGTCTATTTTTCTGTTTTACATATGTGTACCAAGTTTCAAAGGGATCCGTCTGTAAATAACCGAGATAGTTTTATACCCAGACGCTACCCCTGCTCCAATTGAACAGCAGGGAAAGCATCGTGACTTAGTCCCTTACTCCAATTGTACAGTACAGCAGGGAATATCTGTTTTTGCTCGAACGTAGATTGTTTATATTTGTTAAGGATTTGTGCTATTAAGTAACTTCAAATAAAGACTATCAGTGACCAGCATGCCGTGCGATCATGGAGACCGAGTTGGAGTATTCGGATGACCCCAAAGACGTCACACTATTCTGCGTGAAGGCGCTCAGTAGAGTGAGAAGTACACTCGGCAGAGTGAGATACTCGTTTTGTTCTTTGATGGTTCGGATTCAGGGATTTTTGGAATTGTCGCATATTTTAAAACGGAAATCTTGTCTTAATAACGCGTAGAGTTATTATCCTCTTGAAAGGATAGGGAGTGCTTACTTGAGGTACTCACTTGATGGACCTCTATAAGTACTCCGTTGAGGTACTCGCTTCTAGTACCCACTTGAGGTATATATTTGAAGTGCTCACTCGAGGTACTCGCTTAAGGTGCTAATCTGATGTATTCCATCGTTTTTACAGAGGATTGTTTGAACCTGTACAATAATTATTGGAACTGCAATATTCATCCCGTATGCTTCTCTCTTCCCCCCGTGTGGCTTCTACTTAGTCATACACCTCCATACACAATCAAATAACAAGGAGAGTTAATTCTGACTCTTCTATATTGAAATTGTTCATTACCTTTGAATAGGCGTTATTTGACTACTTACTATTGTTTGTTTCGGATTTCCAATCAGAAGAAAACAAGAAGCTGGTTGGGGGTTCGTCAGGAGGGCCGTACATGCAGAACCTTACTCCGGACGCCGAAGAGAGCTGGGCTATGTCCGGCGTGGTGTCCGCCATCTTGAACAGAGCAAACTGTGATCAGCCATTGACCATTTACACCGTTGTCTATCCTTTCAAAGAGTGGATAGAAAACGTGGTTGAGGGTGGTCAATAATGGTCGAAAAGCAAAGTCTGACTCGTTGCCTGTTACCCATAAGGCGGACCGTGATTACCTACCGGAATTGCCTGGGTACGTTGCCTTGAAACCTCATAGACGATTCTTATTCAAACTTAGGAAACGGTTACTACTTGGATGAACAATATGCACAAAGAATCCTGATTAAAGTCACCAACGACCAAAGTATACTACGTACTGCAGGTCATGTTCGGCAGGAGGCTATTGAGTATTTCATCGCTATCAGAACTACTATTCAGAGATCTGTTCACAATAACGATAAAGCGGCTATTCTTACCATTTGGTGAAAGTTCACACCTCACAGACTTTTATCTAGCTAGTACCTACTGCGCAGAAAACCGAACTTACTGAGCACCATACATAATTTTTAAAAACAATGCGATGAATCCACTGAAATGGTCTGCCCCTAAGTTATGAGGACAATCGAAACACGACAATTGCAACTCATTTATTATGATATTCCCAGCATGGTTTTTTGGCGTCGTTTATGTAATACAAACAATGCCTAGACAATCGCTTTTTATCTCCGATAAAGTTCACTTCTGCGGAAATGAAGTTCGTTTACAAAATTTTTAAAGCGTTTTATCTTGGACTGAGATGATTATAACCGACACAATAATTGTTTACACAAATGTATCTTACATGACTTATTTCTTTCACTTTTCTGCCAATTCTTACGACTGGATGTCCGTGGTCGGTGTCATCTTGGCTTCTTGATACCCCTGATCGATAGCTTTCCTTGTACGCCTGTTCCTCTTCTGCCATTTCTTTAAGAACCTTCATTACAAAACTGATTTGAATTCATTGAAGTCATTCATTTTTTCTCGAAGCCTTTGTAATTCAGATAAATTTCCCGTCAACCCCAACTCTGTATTATTAACTATAATATTTCATTTATCATTGATAATTACCAGCTTTAACTATCAAATTCTTTACTTCATTTACTCGAGTATCATCAATAATTATCTAACCTGTTATCCTAACATCGATTCAGTAAAGAGTAAGAGCAATTTCCGTTTTTCACTCTCCGAAACTCAACACGGTCATTCCCAGTTACAATTTTGAGACGGTACCGGCGCAGGGCTTCGCCGTGCCTGTCGCGCTGTAGTCGGACGGAGCAGTGAAACAGTAACCGGCCAGTTATCTCTAAAACAGCGCTGCGCCATGGCTAAAATAGAGAAAAACTCCAACAGCCTGAGAAGGACGGAATACGACGCTGTTAGGGCTCTGCCGCATGGCATGGGCGGCAGGGCGCCCAACCAAGCAGCTGTTCAGGCCGTACATTGCATGGGGAGTGGGGGGGAGGCGGGTAAGAGAGAGGGTGGTGGGTAAGAGTAGGAGGCAGGGGAGGGGTCTCCGTTCTTAATCTAATATTCTAGTTCAAGTGACAGAATCCGCTAATTCGGGTCCATTTTTGATTCCAGTTACTATTATTAAACCACGTAATTATTGTAATACTTCGAATTACCTAAGTGTTTTATCAGCTTTCTTAGTTTGAACGCTTCCGCAAAAAGGAACGTTTAAACACCACTATCCCTTAATAATGTTTACCATATCCCTTATCCCTTAATAATGTTTAATAATAATTAATTAGTTTACCTGAATTTTTTAACGTGAGTGTACAGAAAACGTTTTTTTAACTTGCATCTTATTAAATGCTATAAATCTCCTGCCATCGACTATAAACAGTAAACAAAAACTGCTTCAAAACTTAGCAATATTTTTATTTAAAAAGATCCCATCATAAACTTCTTCATAGTTCATATTCAAAAGGTTTTCATACAGCTGATAAGCGTGTTCCATTAATCATGACAAATTTGCCTCAATTTTTAACGAGGCTTATTTGAGGGCATGAAAATAATGAGAAACAAACTGCAATGTAAATTGATTAGTTCTATTATAAAATTTATATAAACTAGAGTACTAGCTTGTAAATAAGTTGAGGAAATATGGAAGTTATGGCGTTTCGCTTGCCGAAAATCATGAAAAATTGTGGGAGAAGCAGTGCTTTTCTGTCTCCCACAATAAACGATACTGATCATCAACATTTTTACCCAATCAATTACGTGAAATATTCTTTTTGTGATTGAATAGAAACTGCGTTTATTCCTCTAAAATATATATAAATGAATAATCTCTAAACAATTCTAACACAAATGTGGCTATTCCTCGGTTTACTAGACGATTGCATGCCATTCGTTTTGTAGTTACAGTATGAAGTTGATAGAGCTCAGTATGGTAAGGTGTATTGGTTGGCAAGGTGGCTGAGGCGTGAACTTCGGAAGCGCAATTCCAGCGTTCGAAACTTGGAGCTGCCGTCGACGTTTATTCGGGGAGAGCACTTGGCGGTGTTTTACTTGTAACTACTCGGCATCATTAGTAATAGAATTTGTTAGTTTGTAATTGATATCGCATGTGTATATACGATGTGGATGTTCGACAGCGAAGATTATCTAATCTGTCTTATCAATGTGAATAGTAACATGTCGATGATCTCGGAGAGTGAAAGAAAAAACAATTTAAATTTGTTGTCGCGTAGTCAACAAACGGTCAAACTCAACTGCCGGGCGCCCTGTCAGAGCTACCCCAGAGCGGGCGATGAGCTGGTTTGAGCCGGAGGAGCCCGCTGAGAGCTGCTTGTCCGCAGGACAACAGAGTCCGCCAGGGCAGGTGGTCAGAGGTTAAATAGCGCTGCTCCGCGGCTGGTGATATCGTCCATAATGCGGACATTTCTGTTCTATCGCGGCTCTGTCGCATCTCTACGACGGCTCTACAGCCAGCGACGGCCTGCTCTATTCCCTGTCCTAAATTTTAAATGGGTTAGACCCCATCACAGCATTGTCACACGACTCACACGGTGTGACCCACAGGGCAATTGGTATTAACTGAGCGTTCAGCAAGAGTTAGACCTTAAGAGAGTATTTCCGCACCAGCTAGCATTGCCAGGTCTTACAGTCTCAAGTTCTGTTTCCGACACGAAGGAACTTTATGACTCAAGCTGTTCACATGAGCAATACGACGACAGATTCGAGCCTCGCAGGAATAAAGTGGTATATAGCTGTAGAAATTCCTATGAGAACACATACGTACGCGACTACCGCTCGAACTGAACATATGGAGACTCCCCTAACCCTCTATCACCTGACACGAGTAACCAGAGCAATATTGTCACAAGCCTACTTCTCAAAAAGGATAAGTTCTAGTGAGCACAAAATGACTTGCACTGATGGTTGCCACCACGTACGACAATTAAAAATGTTCTCTTTTTGCGTACAAACGTCCTCAGGTTGCTGCATTTAATAGTTTAAGTATGATTCAATGTGTGAATTTTTTTACGAATTTTTTCGATGTTCATAGATGCATCTGATTTCTTCATTTGTTCACTTATTTTTTCTAATGCTTGAAGTCTTGAGATCCTGTCTTTGTAAACCGAACTTTTAACTTTCCATAGGCAAGGTGCCTGTCTATATAACTCAATAAGCCTCTCAGTAACAGTTCCAGTCTCCGTCATGCGACATTGCAAAGCAAAGTAAATGAATAGTAATTGTGTGTAAATAGGGTAGGAGCGACAGTCACGCACAACCTACTCAGACGGCAGTCAAAGCGACACTCCCGAGATGAGCGGCTCAATGAGCGGCTCAAAAGAATGAACACTGCTTCATTCGTCGATGAGCCCGTGTCGATGGTCCGGACAGCCTCAGTCTGGGCTGAAAAAGCCAGTTTTTCAGTCGTCAGTCGCGCAGAGTCTCATAGTGGAAACGGCCCTTAACCATGCAGTTGAACTTGAGTGACCTGGCATTTCCACACGTGGATCCAGCTTTCTCGATGAGATTGAAATTAAACCCTGAAGTATATGGACACGAGCAGCTAAGCAGCTAAAATAACATGATCATGTCAGCATATACCTCGAGCTAAAAATTTCCATTACTGCCAGTCCCGGAATCTTCTAAGGCAAGCGAAGTAGAATGCCGGCATTATCTCGACACTAGGTTCCCGTAATGCCGGTAGCGCTGGCTTGTTTCTCAATGAACTCCACTTGCAGAACCATTGTACAGAAAAACTAATACATTTCTAGTAAAGTTCAGCTTTTAAAATCTATAATTTTCAAGTCGAATACTTCACAAGTTCACTTTTCCCACTACTATTACAGGATTGAAATGAGCAACGTTCGCCGTTTCGTGTGATCTGCACTAGTACAACTAATGAACTAACGCCGGTGACTGTCCCGCTCGCCGGGCAGCGGAGCGGCAAGGCAAACGCGAACGAACGTGTAACGCCGTGTAAACTACTCACTGCCTCAAGCTATTGTCCAATTTTTGTCCAATAATTAATGTAATTATTATCTTACAACACGTAAGCTTAAAAAATTGGTACAATCAATTCTCATTTCGTTCCATCATATGCCTTGACAAACGTACACAAAGTTCCTTCGTTCAAGGTTTTTTGAAAGAATGCTGTCAATGAGCCGGCCAGAACGGTTGCTACTTCTTTGAGCAATCTGGGATGGAAGCCGTCTGATCCACGTGACTTGTTGGGATTTAGAGCTTCCAGGCGCTTGAGAACCTCTTCGTGTATTTCAAAACCTGTTAACTTCGAGCCGGTTGGGTGCCCCTCAATATCTGGAATACTGTTCAACTCCTCATCTGTGAACAAACTGCTGAAGAAATGATTAAGAACGTTAGCCTTGCCCTCATCAGAGGAAATCTTTCGTCGGTCTAGTTTCAAATCAGATATACCGTCCTTTGACTTACACTTCGAACTAGCGTACAAAAAGAAGGCTTTCGGATTTTTTTTTGCATTTTTAGCAATATTTTCTTTCGAAGTTTTTCACTGCAGTGCGACAGACTTTTTAGCTTGATTTCTAGCTCTTGCATACATGTTATAATCAGAATCGCTGCGAGTTAATCAGAGTATATTCAGAATCGTTGCTCTAAAGAAATTTATTAACGTCTGTAATTTTGCATATGGCGCACGTATCTTCAAATGAAATGCAATTTATCAATACGTAGTACAACCAAAGATATGATAAACATTTGACGAGAATAATGTCGAGGTGAGGACAGGAAAACAACTATAGAGCAAGCAATGAATCTTTTTTGGATTTATTCAAAAGAAAATAAACTAAACCGCTGCCATTGTCCACGGAAGGCGCAACGAGCTGCGCCAGCCCTTCTTCCACACGACCTGTCCCGTCAGGACACTCATCCTGCAGCGAATATGAATTCGGTTAAGACCAAGTAAAACAAGGTAAATTATTAGTAATCAATTATCAGTTAAATAAATTTTCAGTTAAATTTATTGTCAGTTTAGTCAATTATCAGTAATTAATTATCATTTAAATATCAGGTAAATTAATTACCAATTAAATCAATTATCAGTTAAATCAATAATCAGTTAAATCAATTATCTGTTAAATCAATTATCAGATAAATTAATTATCAGTTAAATAAATTATCAGTAATTAATTATCATTTAAATTAAATGTCAGTTAAATTAATTATCAGTTAAATCAATTATCAGTTAAGTTAAATCAATTACCAGTTAAATCCAGTATTAGTAATTAATTACCATATAAATTAAAAATCAGTTTAATTAATTATCAGTTTAATCAATTATCAGTTTAATCAATTATCAGTTAAATCAATTATCAGTTAAATCAATTATAAGTTAAATAAATCTGTAAATTGCAGAGATCTGGGTTACCGCTAAACCGGTATAGAGCTATGCAAGGCATGCTAGCAAACGCGGAAACTTCTGACGGCAGTTGTCTAGTTTCTCTTGTCTTGTTCACATGTGGAGTGACACGCGCTTCTAATTTCAGTTGTGGAATCATGCGGTAGAACGACTTGAACATAATTTGTTTTAATAGATAAACATGTTAATTTTGAACATTTTTTAGCAGCACAA